TTCCTTCCTTCCTTCCTTCCTTCCTTCCTTCCTTCCTTCCTTCCTTCCTTCCATATCTTACCCTTACCTAGGTGGCTCACAACAAAACCAATAAAATCACAACATAAAAACACTTCATATCTTTCCAACCACAGCATTATGATAATCCCTACTCCATACTCACTGACTCAACCCCATCCTAGCTCCATGTCTGGGGGAAGAGCCAGGTCTTTGTGGCCTTCTGGAAGGCTAAAAGAGTTGGGGACCCTGTATCTTAGGTGGGAGGCTATTTCAAAGGGTCAGGGCAGCGACAGAGAAGACACGCTTCTGAGACTTCAGCAGATGACAGCATCTGAGGGAAGGTACTTATAATATGTCCACCCTATCCAACTTGGTGGGACAGGCAGATATCCTCAGGGAGAGCCGGTCCCACAAATAACCTGGTCCTGTGCCATGTAGGGCTTTACAACCAGCCCCCTGAATTGCACCCAGAAAGCAATTGAAAGCCAGTGCAGCTCGGGCAACAATGGTGTAACATGGGCAAACTGCAAAACTGGGCCAGCTGCAGCTTCCAGATGGTCTTCAAGGGCAGCCCCATGTAAAGCGTGTTGCAATCATCCACCCAAAAAGGTGTGAATGACTACGAGCAAGGCCTCCCAGTCAGGAATGGGCACAACTGGCGCACAAGATGAATCTGCGCAAAGGGCCCCCTGGCCACGGCTGCCACATCTGCCATCCCCAAACAGGAGCTGCTAGTCCAAGAGAGCCTCAAATTGCACACCAACTCTGGGGGAGAACTATCCTGTCCAGAGTCAAAGAAGCCACCTCTCCAGACCAGTGGAGCCCAAACACCCATAGCTACCCAGTCTTGCTAGGGCTGAGTTCCCTGAATGGGTGAATGAATGAACCTTGCAGAATCTGGAGAAGAAGCAACATGGATTATGCACAACTCTGGCAACCTTCAAAATCCTGAGCTTCAGATCCAATCGAAGCATCTAATGTAGCCTCCAGAGGTCTTGGATACAACTCTCATTACTCCTGTCTTGGCTGCGAATGATGACAGTTGTAGTCCAACACACCTGGAAGTCACCAGATAGGGAAACCTGCTGAGTTCATCTTCACAGTTCTACTATTTCAAAGACACTTCAGAATTCAGTCTTCTAACATTTTCTTGGCTTCAAGAGCATTTTTCTATTGTTCTACACTTCCTTTTTGTTGTTGTTGTTATTAAGTTCTGGCTACTTTTCACACTATTATTGTTCTACACTTCCTTATTTTTTTTTTTATTAAGTTCTGGCTCCTTTTCACACTGTTTAATAATCAGCCCAGCTGAAGCACCCAGAACTTTAGAAAAGTCAAGTTCGCTCTGTTAAATATAACTAACAGGATGTGTGCAAAATAGAGCAACATTTTTCAATGTGCATGTTGGCCTCTTTGAAGCCATTCCCACTGCCGTGCAACATAATCAAGCTTCTCGTGCAGCAGAAATGTTCTCTAATTGTTGCAAGTTCCAGTTTTTACATGCTGCAATTTGACGGAGACTCCTGGACTACAGAGTCAATGAGGCACAATTAAGCAGTAACATCAAAGGAAAACTCTGCACTGCAACCAACATTAAGCCCAACTGCCAGAATTGCTTTCTGACACCTCTGTCAATGGTTTTATTCCCACGTGAACCCTGCTGTCCCACTGATGGAGAGGCAGGGGCGGCTCCCTCGAGCGAAGCTTCTTGGTCTGGGGGGAGTTTTAGTTGCTATCGGATGATTTGATCCCCGCGGCCCTCAGATGCAGCCTGAAGGGCACATTGACCTCTTCTGCTTCCCAACCAAATTTCCCCTGGAAATTCCACTTCGGCAGCAATTATATCTCTGCTTATGGAAGAAACACTCAATACTTTCTCTTCGCTCTCTTAATCAGGACCAGAAACTGGGCAAAAGAAAGCAGAAAGCATTCCAAAATGTAGAGCAGCAAATCTTACCCAAAGGCTTCAGTTTTTGCGAACTACAGCTGACATGCATGGAATGGCTACACTGATGCATCGTGGATTATAGTCCATGCCTAAGAATTAATCTCCATCCGTGTGATGAAGTGAGCTATCGTCCACAAAAGCAGAAAAGCCTTTTAATAAACTTTGGTAGTCAGGAAAGGTGCTACCGGCCTCCTGATTTGGGCTACCACAGGCAACTATGATAGCTACAAATTCTAGAATAGCTTTGTGAAACGCGGAAACGGTAGTGGCCGGGGCTGCACATGACAATAGACCATGGTTTGTTGATTAAGCCACCATTTAAAAATTAATGCCTCCTTTGAATTGAGCCCGACTCCTGGACACATCTGAGCAGCAATACAGAAGTGTCTTTCCTAGCCTAGTCTACAGCTGTGGGTTTCGTGGTAGTCTCCCACACAACCCTGTCCCTAACCTAGCCCTGATTAACTTCCACGCCCAAATTTAACTAGGTGTGAAGTCATACATAGGCATCTGTAACAAGTCATGGCGACTTCAAAATGACATGGACATTGTTGACCTTGCTGCACAAATGAAGAAAATGCTAAAATGATGTCATTTGTGTGATGTCCACAGGCTACCACGGAACAACCTTCATGTTGTGTGCCAGTTACGCCCCTTCCTGGATCAGGAGGCCCTCCAGTCAATCCCTCACACCCTGGTCCTCTCTCGTTTAGACTACTGCAATGCACTCTACGTGGGGCTACCCTTGAAGAGTATCCGGAAGCTACAGGTGGTTCAAAATGCGGGCAAGTGTGCAATCTTGGGTGCCCCAAGGATGCCACGTGTAGCACCTCTGCTGCAGGAGCTGCACTGGGTGCCAGTTTCCTTCCGGGTCCAATTCAAGGTGTTGGTTATCACCTTTAAAGCCCTACATGGCATGGGACCAGGTTACCTGCGGGACTGTCTCACCCCCATTACTTCGACCTGCCCTGCCCGGTCCGGCAGAGAAGGCATGTTATGGATCCCGTCAGGGGCCAGGAGGAGCCTTCTCCGCCATTGCCCCCGCCCTATGGAATACTCTCCCCCCAGAGGTGAGGTGGGCCCCTACCCGCCCGGCTTTCTGGAAGGAGCTGAAGACCTGGCTCTGCCAACCCGGCAGGGCGAGGAGAGATACAACCAACCCGGGGGGGGGGGGGGGGGGGGG